ATTGTCTGGAAACTAGAAAAATGCTTATTTTTGGCCCCTTTTTGGCCCCCAATTCCTAAACGTTTCGGGCAATTACCCCCAAACTCAATTCCAGCTTTCCCTTTGTGATATGGAACCTTGTAGTACAATTTCAGAAATATCCAAACACTTACACACAAGTTATTGTCATGAAACTAGAAAAATGCTTGTTTTTTGCCCCTTTTTTGGCCCCTAATTCCTAAAATTTTGAGGCAATTACCCCCAAAATCAATTACAGCCTTTCCTTTGTGATATGGAACCTTGTGGTACAATGTCAGAGAGATCCATACACTTACACACAAGTTATTGTCTGGAAGTTACAAAAATGCTTATTTTTGGCCCCTTTTTGGCCCCTAATTCCTTAACTGTTGGTACCATAACCCCCAAAATCAATCCCAACCTTCCTTTCGTGGTATTGAACCTTATGGTAAAATTTCATGGAGATCCATTCACTTAAACTAAAGTTAGAGTGCGAAAACCAATGTGTCTTCGGACGACGCCGGACGACGCCAGACGACGACGACGCCGGACGACGACGCCGGACGACGACGCCAACGTCATACCAATATACGACCAAAAAATTTTTAATTTTTGCGGTTGTATAAAAAGTCATGAAAATACAGAAATAGAATAAAATTTTAAGATAATTTGATGAAACTTGTAAACAAAATACATTTGAATATTACATATACCAAACAAACTTTTTTATAGTCCTCATTATTGTGACTTTATTATTGGGTGTCTTTTATCTGTTTTTCCCATACATTCTTAAATGCATATGACAATGCCAGACTTAGAAGTTGCAATAATTAGTTAAAGTATAGTTTTTGACTGACTCTTTGAAGTCAGAACATAATTTGACCTGTTTAAAACAAAATACATTTAAATATTGAATATACCAAATAAACTTTTTTATATAATCCTCATTATTGTGACTTTAGGGGACATTATTTCCTCTGTTTTTTATCTGGCTCTCCCATACATTTTTAAATCAATATGACAATACTAGACTTAAAAGTTGTAATACGTTTAGTTTTGACTGACTCTTTGAGGTCAGAACATGATTTGACCTGTTAAAGTCAGTTTACAAAACAAAATTTCCAATCAAAGCTAGGTGTATTTCCTTTAATCCAAGAAAGTCCTTGCTTTCAGACTGCTTCTGAATCTGCCATTTTCGAGTTTATTATTTGATAAATTTTTAGAAACAATTAAGTCAAATGGTTATTTATTTTAGGGGATCTTAACATATATTTCCTGTGTCTTTTATCTGACGTTCCCATACATTCATTTAATATCATATGGCAATGCCCTGATTAAATATTTCAATAAATTTTTTTTAGTTTTGGACTGACTCTTTTAAGTCAGAACATGATTTGACCGTGTTTAAAACAAAATACATTTAATATTGAATATACCAAATAAACTTTTTTATAGTCCTCATTATTGTGACTTATGGGGACCTAATTTCCTCAGTCTTTTATCTGGCTTACCTATACATTTTTAAATCAATATGACAATACTAGACTTAAAAGTTGTTATACGTTTAGTAAGTCAGAACATAATGTGACTTGTTTGAGTCAGTTTGCACAACAGTATTTACCTCAATGAAATATTAAAATAATAAATGTTTTGCTCTTAATACATTTAGCTTAAAGTGGATGAGAATATATCTTTTATTAACATAGTCTTATCATGAATAAGTGTCTTGTTTTTCCTTGGAAGATTTGAAGTATTGTCATGTAATGTATCCAATATTGTATTTTGTAAATCTTTTGATATTCAGAAAATTGTTTGATCCATTTTTTCTCACCTGGTTTTTCTTTGTATTTTGAAATAATTGAAAGTGATGAGATAAATATATTATGTTTAGATTCTGGAAAGGAGAAGGTATGATGTCAGATGAGCCCCACTTTTTAAAACTCTTTAATTCGAAACTAGTAATCACCATATTTTTATGGAGATTGATAACAAAGTGGTAGTAATGACTGCTTCAAATCAGAACAAAAATGACCTCTCGAAGTCAAAATGCATTAAAAAGGGGCATAAATCTTATTAGAATATGAAGATATTAAGTCACAATATTTTGTGCAAAATCTGACCTGTGGAAGTCATTTTATGATAAATTAAAGTCTGACATAAACTGACCTGTACAAGTCATATTCTGTTAAGTGCAAGAAGGGAGACAACACTTACATCAAATTATATCTGACCTATGGAAGTCATTTTATTCTGACTTGTTTATGTCAGAGCTCTGACTGTTTGGCGGTTACTTCTCATTGGCAATCATACCACATCTCCTTATTTTTACTTGGAGGATAGTTGTCTCATTGACAATCATACCTCATCTCCTTATTTTTACTCTGGCGAATAGTTCTCATTGGCAATCATACCACATCTCCTTATTTTTACTATAGCAGATCTTCTTATTTTTACTTTGGCTGATAGTTCTCATTGGCAATCATACCACATCACCTTATTTTTACTTTGGTGGATAGTTCTCATTGGCAATCATACCTCATCTCCTTATTTTTACTCTGGCAAATAGTTCTCATTGGCAATCATACTACATCTCCTTATTTTTACTTTGGTGGATAGTTCTCATTGGCAATCATACCTCATCTCCTTATTTTTACTTTGGTGGATAGTTCTCATTGGCAATCATACCTCATCTCCTTATTTTTACTCTGGCAAATAGTTCTCATTGGCAATCATACCACAATTCCTTATTTTTACTTTGGAAGATAGTTGTCTCATTGGCAATCATTCCACATCTCCTTAATATTACTTTCGAAGATAGTTGTCTCATTGGCAATTATACAACATCTCCTAATTTTTACTTGGCAGATAGTTGTCTCATTGGCAATCATACCACATCTCCTTATTTTTACTTTGGTGGATAGTTCTCATTGGCAATTATACCACATTTCCTTTTTTTTTCTTTGGAAGATAGTTGTCTCATTGGCAACTAGATATCATTGAGATGGGAGCCATCTCTGTGGGCCCCGCTGTGAATAATGAGTTGTAAAAAATTTGTATCTATCATTGGACACGGGGTTGTCAACTGAAACCAAAGTTTTTGACCTTGACCTTTGACTTAGGAAGTTGTACATAAATTATGACACACCCTCTGGTGTTGGTTTATATACATATCAAGTATAATTTTTGAAATCATAACGGTTTTCAAGATATAGAGCGGACACGATAGGACATGGGGTTGTCAACTAAAACTAAATTTTTTTACCTTGACCTTTGACTTAGGAAGTTGTACATACATTATGACACACCTTCTGTCGTTGGTTAATATACATGTCAAGTATAAACTTTGAAATCATAACGGTTCTCTAGATATAGAGTGGACACAATTTGTTATGGATGGACAGACGGAAGGACAGACTGACGAATAGACAGACTGATCACTTTAGGGGGTCCGCCATTCCGCGGGGCCCCAATTATACCACATCTCCTAATTTTTACTTGGCGGATAGTTGTCTCATTGGCAATCATACCACATCTCCTTATTTTAATTTTGGCCAATATTTGTCTCATTGGCTATCATAAAACATCTCCTTATTTTTACTTTGGTGGATAGTTCTCATTGGCAATCATACCACATCTCCTTATTTTTACTCTGTTGGATAGTTCTCATTGGCAATCATACCACATGTCCTTATTTTTACTATAGCAGATCTTCTTATTTTTACTTTGGCGGATAGTTCTCTTTGGCAATCATACCACATCTCCTTATTTTTACTTTGGAAGATAGTTCTCTCACTGGCAATCATACCACATCTCCTTATTTTTTATATCAAATGATTATACCAACTAACAAATACTAAAAACTTTGCATTTATATAATTTTCAAAGATTTGTCATGATTGTAAAATATGTAAAATCATACCACATCTCCTTATCTTTATATAACCATGAAATGTTAACATTGACGAATGAACCATGAAAATAAGGTAACGGTCATATAAACCATGTGGATAGACAGACATGTTTACCTTACGAGCATACCATAAAGGAAAATACAGTTGATCTTTTGCTTTTAGTATCTGAGAACCTGACCAAACCACAAAAACTTAACACTGACTAATGAACCATGAAAATAAGGTAACGGTCATATAAACCATGTAGATAGACAAACATGTTTACCTTACGAGCATACCATAAACCAAAATACAGCTGATCTATTGCTTATAATATCTGCGAACCCTGACCAAACCACAAAAACTTAATTCTGACCAATGAACCGTGAAAATAAGATCAAGGTCTGGAAATCCTGCCAGACAAACATGTTCACCATACAAGCATTCCATACACCAGATATAGCTGACCTATTGCTTATGGTATCTGAGATATGGACTTCATCATGAAATTTTAACCTTGATCACTGATCCATGAAATGAAGTCCTGGTCAGGTGAATAAAGTGTGACAGACATGTAGACCTTGCAAGAAATATGATATAATTGGTCATTCAAGGGTAATAACTTCTATAAGAAGTTGTAGACCAGTTTTGATCGATTCAAGTGGACAGTGGGTGGATGTAAACATTCTGAACATTTCTGCCTGTCAAAATTTCTCTACCTATAGCAGTTTTCAAGATAATAGACAAAACTTGCATTCTACCCATAAATTCTATTTTGAGCCATGTCGGCCATGTTGGTTGGCAGGGGGAAAGGTCATAGGAATGCACTTTTTAATTATCACCGCCATGCATAACATTTTAATTGATTACTTTAATAATCAAATTGTTAAGTCTTTCTGTCTAAAATAACCACCACGCATCAAATTTCAATAAAAGTCCCCCCTCCCCCCCACTCCCATTCAAATAATTCTGGAAAAGCCCTAAGTAATTGCATTGGATGCCGCTTTTAAATCAAGTATAAACCTTTTTTTTTTAATCTGATAATAAAGGGATTTTCCATTATAAATGTTTTATCAGACGGATATATATAGTTCACAAATAATGTACACTGACCTATAATAACAACGTGACTGGACAAGGATCACATTGACTGGACAAGGATCACATTGACTGGATGAGGGTCACATTGACATTTCTTTATCATAGTGCTCAAAAAGTGCCAAAAACATTAATTTTACTTGATATTTGATGTGAAACCGTATTTTTTGGTGACAAATGATTTATTGATCAACTAGTTTTTAAGCTATAGTCTGTTTCATATTTGTATTGCGATTTATATTAGAAACAAGGGTGGGCTCGACTTTTGACTTACTGTGGAGAGAATATGTCATTTTCTGAACTTCTGCTGATTTGTTTGAATGAAGCACGTACACGTCTAGAGTTTGGATACAAATATCGATTTTTAAACATGACAATCTCGACCCAAGTGCTGTTATCGAAATTACCAAATTCAGTGAAAATGAACAGAAATGATCCTCTTCAAACATTAAATGTTCACTCGAATGGCAAACTATAAAAATTAGAATAGGCATGACATTTTGTAGTTAAAGAATAGTTTTTAATGTTAAAACACAAATATTTACACATTTTTCATATTTTGAAGTGCTATAGTCTGTTTCAAAAATGTATTTTTATACGAAAATGGTTTCATTTAAAACTGTTGTTCATAACTCACCGTAGTAGTTACATATTGGATTGGTTTTGGTATCAATATAATCAGTACTTGATGACATATAAAGAATCATTGGAGTAAGTGGACATTATCTTCAGGCCCTTTTTAGCAGTACCGCATTTACTTTTATAGAAAATTATGGCTACTTTAGGAAAAGTTGTAATTCATTATTAGAAGGCTGGTTTGAAAGGGTAATACCAACATTGTTTTTCCCCTTGTACGTCTCTGTTTAATTGACTTTTTTTTTTTTAAATTGTGCAGAATTTATCTTTGTTTTAAATAAAGAAATACTTGGCATGAGTCAAGTCTCATCCTGTCCAGTACTACAGTGAAAATACAACATAACTTTTCATTGCATATAAGATAGTAAACGTCACCAGAAGTTAACCAATCATATTCCTCTCCCCCTTTTAAGCTTTAGTAGCCATGTCCCCTTAAATTTTCAAAATATTTTATAGAAAATCAGACAGAATTTTATTATTGCTTTGAAACACCCAAGATATATGTTGAAGACCCAAAAAAAAATTTCTGCAATGAAATGCAGGGTTAATTTCCAACAACACAAAGTTAGTTAGAATTCGAGGCATAATTATGTTCATTAGTATAAGACATTGTGGCAGTTGTTTGGAGTTGAAACAATTATTTTTTGCTTGTTTTGTGTTGTTTAATATTCAATTTATACAACTAAAATATGATAACACAATTTTAAAAGTAAAAATTGATAAAAGTCTCTCTGCAATTCTGTCTAATAATACTGTTTTGATAACTGTTTTTAAAATTGGAATCAATTATTATTGTTGAAGATGTTTTTTCATCTAAAAGGCCCGAGAACACAGTTATTTAGTAGTGCATTTCTTTTAGACAATAAATTCAAATTTAAAAAATCGCACCTGCTCTATCTCAAAAAGATTTTTACAGTGTAGTGTACTACTATTGATACAAATAATATCAAAATTATAGAAACTTCTACCAGCTCTAACTCAAAATATTGACAATTTTGTGTTAAGGGGGGCTAAAATTCAGTTTGACAGCTTCAGACATTCTAATTTTTGACCTTTTTTAACTGGACCAAATCACTACTTAACATAAAGATTCAGCACCCAATTTTTTTTAACATGTAATTTCATCCTCTTACTTAATATTTCATGCATAAAATATCAAGAATTAAATTGGGAAAGTGTATCAAAAAAAAATGCAAGTTATACACTGTTCACACTAGGGACTATATTCGTAGACAACGAAAACCAAAGGACAATGACTGTGTCCTTGGACCTAATGGGATAGAAAGACTTGACCAATTTTAATAAAACTTTGCATGACCTAAGCTTAGGAAATTATAAGATAGTTGGCCAAGTTTCATGGCCATAGGATATATAATATAGAAACTAGGGCCATTTTATTATTGAAATTTGGATGTTTATTTTTGACGTTTAAATCAAATATTTTCAACTGTCAAGATTTTGGCCTAAAAAATTTAAATATTGCAAAAATTTGCTTTTTAAATACTCTTGAATATAATATAATAAGTATTAAAAGCAACGGAACACTCATTTGATTTGTCAGATTTATCACAGTTATTCAAAAGTCAAATTTATATGAGCCTGTGCCTGAAAATAGAGATTTTCGAAATAAGGGAATCCTTACATAAACATGCATTTTTTTCAACCAATTTGAAGTTTTTGAAGTTTTTTAACCATACATTATTCTTCCATATATATATTAAATGTACTTAAAATGTAAAGAAAAATTACAAAAAGCATACCACATGAGTATAAAATGGTCTTAGGCCATGTAAGACTGAGAATTATTTAGAGTCGATTTAGGCCGTAGGCCATATTTACATTCAAAAATGCACACAGAGGCTATAAGAAATGGAAATTTGTTACTTTTTGCTCATTTCTATGCTAAGATGTTATGATACAAGAAGTCTAATTGCAAAAGGACTCTTGAATTCAACTTTTTTTTGCAGACAGTATGGTCTGATGACCAGTTTTTCACTTTTTAATGGAAAACTTGCATGTAGTTTTAGTCTCAATTGGCATATATTTGAACCACTTTCTATCCTAAAGAAGAAAATTATGGTAGCATACGAAATGAATAGGGTGTACTGATCATTGTAAAGTGTTTTTTTACAGATTTAGTGAAATATTTGTGATGGACTACAGATTTTATGTACAAAGCTCTTCACATTTCACATACATCAAACAGGCCGTTTAACCAGGGACATAAATACAAATATTCTGCACATTTTTCCTGTGATAATCTACTTTTCTCTAGATGCAGAGTTCACAAATGATTAATTAAATTTGATTTAAGCATAGAAACACAAATATCAGGAACATAAAAAGCTGTCAGATAGAAAGTCAGCATGGCTCTTAGGCATAAAATGGAAATTGCTTTAAAATGCTTATTTTAGCCGTATAATGCCAAAATGGGACATTTTAACAGAATTTCTGTCAAACAAAGATGTAAATCCTTTACTTTTATTGAGTTTGACAAATTGAAACCAGCAAATCATTCAGGAAAGTTGCCAAAGTACAGAATCTACATTTACGGAATTCATCTCTTAGGCCCGAGAACAGTTATTTCGTAGTGCATTTCTTTTAGACAATAAATTCAAATTTAAAAAATCGCACCTGCTCTATCTCAAAAAGATTTTTACAGTGTAGTGTACTACTATTGATACAAATAATATCAAAATTATAGAAACTTCTACCAGCTCTAACTCAAAATATTGACAATTTTGTGTTAAGGGGGGCTAAATTCAGTTTGACAGCTTCAGACATTCTAATTTTTGACCTTTTTTAACTGGACCAAATCACTATATAGCTACTTAACATAAAGATTCAGCACCCAAATTTTTTTAACATGTAATTTCATCCTCTTACTTAATATTTCATGCATAAAATATCAAGAATTAAATTGGGAAAGTGTATCAAAAAAAAATGCAAGTTATACACTGTTCACACTAGGGACTATATTTGTAGACAACGAAAACCAAAGGACGATAACTGTGTCCTTGGACCAACAGCATACAACATTTTAATATTAACACAATATTTCATATGGGCATAACAGAGGATGCTCTAAAATAATTATCCCTACTGAAACTGTAAAATGGTTTATTCCCTCAAACTATAATGTTTATATAATGTATCATGCTGTGATAATAATGTTTTGCCTCTACACAGATTTCTTAACAGTATTATTAGACAGAATTGCAGAGACCAGTACCGGAAATTTGCAGCGGGTACATCTGATAACCGATGTAAACACTTGGCCAAAGACCACAATTAATTATCCCGCTTTTTGTTGTCCACGAATATAGTTCCTTTTAATTAGAGTATATTTTTTCTTAATTTTTTTTCTTTCCCTTCCTCACTCATTTCTTAGATTTTTTTGGATGGAAATGAAAGAAGAGAGGTGAAATAAACTTTTGGATGTTGTATTTTAACTGATTTTGATATGGAAAGAGTGATTAGGCCAGGTGCAAAAAGGTGATATTTACAGTTTTTCGGAACATCTCTTGACTTGTCCATACAGGTATGGATGTGTATTGGCTAAATTTGTAAGATGCTGGGGAGCGATATTTCTGAATGTTTGATATATGTTTGGATTAGTACTGTTCTTTACACACACAAAATATTTGACAAAAAGAATCGGTGCATTTTTTTTAATGAAACAAAACGTTATAAAGAACTAATAGAGAATTTAATTAATATATTGTGGTCTGTGGCCACTTATTGGAAACAGTTGCGGTACATCTAATAACTGATGTAAAAAAGTGCCGAAATATGCACTACAACGGCCGTTTTTACATCGGTCATCAGGACTGGCACTAGCCTTCAAAATACTGGTCCGAGCCTCATTTTGACCGACAGGACCGACAGGACCGACCATTTTCGCGAACTCTACTTTTTTAAGGTTCATCATAACAAATGGACAAAAATGGCTGTATTTAAACCTCAAAAACTACTCAGAGTACAGACTAACCTGTGCAGTTGGGAAAGTTTTAAGGCCTGGCATCCACTAGATATATAAAAGTTAAATGCATTTTGTGTTTCAGAAAGATGAATTTTTTTTTTGATTTTGATGGGCATTTTTTTTCGTTCCTGCAGAAGGTGTAAAAATAAACAAACACCTGAATTGCCTTTGATACTGCCCACTCAGTTACAACCTTTAACTCACCTATAGTTGTGTAGATATCTATTGTCTGTCTATTGTCCATGTCAATCAAGGCCAATCAATACAATACAATACAGTTGTTACCTGAAAGGGAGCATCTCAAAGTTGTATCCCAACTTAGTTTATTTTTACACCTTCTGCAGGAACAGAATAAAATACCCATCAAAATCCAAAAAAGATTTTATCTCATATCCAACTATCGCGGTCATCACGTGACTTTTACACTTCAGTTGTATATCATTAATGGCCGATTGATTATCAATGAAAATGAACGGGGTACATAGATTAAACGGTCATAACTTTTTTGTTACATTTTGTATTTTACTTCCCAACCCCGCGTTGTACAGTATATTCATTTTTACAATTAAAAATGTTCTAAGTTTCAGTTCAGATATATGATTTCTTGCTTCAAAATAAGTTTGAAAATTGAGGTGACATAACCACACAACCTCCGTTGACTTCTTTGTTAAAACTCGATAAAATTGCAATGGGACCTTATTATATAGTCAATTTTCTCAACTTATTTATTGTTACTAAATTTCTCCCAACCCCTAAAAAGATCGACAACATATTCATATAAATGAAATCGAAAACCATATCAGTTTAGGTATCAAACTTTTTGCTTCAAAATTTGATTGAAAAGTTCACATTTTGGCATTCGTTAGCAATATTTTAAAAATGGCGGCCGCTGTTGGTAGTAAACAAAGACACAACATGCCGGTATTCATTTAGTTATTAATCAAAATGTGATATTTCAAATATTCATTGAAGTGTGTCTTACTGTATTTAAGAAATTTCTTATTTCACCTTTTCTTTAATATATTTATTAGAAACAGTTTCTTCCACCGAAAATAAAGATTTATATGCATTAACCATGCATTTTACATTGACAGCTTGGGCCGACTTGTGAAGATATATTTTGTAAGATATTTACGATGAAAATCGAATAAATGTTGGATGCATGCGTTTTCAGTAATTGTCTTACCTTAAAGCAGCATAGAATCATACATTGTTTCTCTTTGTTAAAGTGGATACATGCTGTTTGTTTGATAAAATTTCGAAGTTACGTAAGGTGGCGACTAAATAATTTTCAAACGTAGACGATGTTCGACACTAATTTTACCCATGCAAATGATTCAATTTGATTTCACTGTTGATATTGCAATTAAGTATGACATGTTATTGTCACTTTAACAATACCAAGGACATAGCGAGATTAAGGAGATATTAATTAAGTCATCAACGTGATCAAAGAAAACAAACATGGCACCTAATCACGATGTAATTTGACAAGACCTGTGTACATGTAGATTAGTATTGTTCGATTCTTAATGAAATTATTTTATGCTATTATTTTATATCAGTAAAAGAAAAACTCGAATGAATGGTATCCGAGGTGAAATATCTATATTTTTCAAATTTCTAATCATCACACGGGTAACCAGTAAATTTGACATAATTATTATTAAACCAGTAACATGCAGAGTTATCGAACGTAACTATGACTGGAATAGTTGCATATGTTCTGAAACACAAAATGTATTTAACTTTTATATATCTAGCGGATGCTAGGCTTTAAAACTTTTCCAACTGCACAGGTTAGTCTGTACTCAAGAGTAGTTTTTGAGGTCTAAACACAGCCATTTTTGTCCATTTGTTATGATGAACCTTAAAACCAGGAATCACAGCATAAATGAAATTGTTACGAATATTTCACTGCATTATCACTATCCCTGTGGTATCAAATGTAATTATGACTTTCTGCATTTTGATTAAGCTTTAAAAAGATATTTGAAAAAATAAGTTGACATTTTTTACAAATCAATGTGTATTGAAGAACTAGAATCTAAAATAAAATTAAGAGCTTAGAACTATGGACTTAGAAAAAGATGCTCCAATACTTTGTACATTTAATAGTATGGTATAAATGGAGGACATGATTGGTCTGGGCAGTTGAATTATTTTAATGCACTTTTCTAAGTTATTTTGTAGTTATGAAAAAGAAAAAGAGCCTTATTATAAAGCTCATAATTTCTTATTAATTCCATTAAATCTGTGTATAATTTTGGAAATAAAACATTTTCTCAATACTTTCCTGTGGATATCATATATAAAATATTTTGAGAAAAGAAGTTGTATTGTATAGACAAAAGGGATTCCAGTACAAAGTATAAATTTTT